TGACCTAGAGAGCTCGGATTTTGGCGATTTTTCGAAGGTTTTTCAATAAATTATCGGGGTAAGTGATTCTAACTCAGATTTGGCTAGAGTACATGAATCTATCATATAATTCATCATTTAATTCGTGATTTGTGATGGAATTTAGGAAAAAAATTGTGAAATCTTTCAAAAATGTAAAATGATGATTTGAAAGACCAAATGGTATCAGAATTGGATAATTTTTGTATGGTTAGACTCGTGAGAGTATAAGGATTCTAGTTGTGTGAACTATTTCAAATTCCGAAATGTGGGCTCGGGGGTCGGGTTTGACCAATTTCTGGAATTTCGTAGTAATTCGATTGTTTTCGCTTGGGCTTTATTCCTTTATCATATTGTGACGTAATCGTTCTGATTTTGGATAGATTCGATGCGAGTGGAGGATGATTTGAGGAGAAAAGGCATCGTGGAATAGTATTTTTACCGGATTGAGGTAAGTAACCATTGTAAATCTGGAACTGAGGGTACAAAACCCCAGTATTTTACTTGATTTGATAAAAGCGGTGACGCACATGCTAGGTGACGAGCGTGTGAGCGTGCACCGGTAGGGATTGTGACTTGGTCCGTCCCATAGCGACGATTAAGCCACGTATTTGATTTGGAAATCTTATATTACTCCGTATTTCAGTCTATTATATTGTATCATGGGCCGTATGCAATGTTTGGGGCCTTGTGCCGACCTGTAGAACCCTTAGGGGTATTTTGACTGTTTTTCCTCACTTTACTTGTTAAAAACCATATCCTCAGTCATGTCTTTACCTGTTTAAATGATTAAAGCTGGTTTTATCACTCTATTCCTAAATGTGAGGATTGTTTGGGCTGAGATCCCCACATTCTAGTATTGTGCCCGAGAGGCTGTGAGGTTAATGACTGAGAGAGGTTGAGAACCCAATTGTGAGGATGTTATATGTATATACTATGGGCCGGGCTGCACATCTCAGTGATACTTTTATGGATCGGGCTCCACGCCACAGCGATGCGTATATTGGATCGGGCTACACGCCGTAGCGACACATATATTGGATCGGACTGCATGCCACAGTGATATAGCGCTTGGGCTGTAGGAGCCCCTCCAGAATCTGCACACCCCAGTGAGCGCAGTCGACTATATATGTGGATCGGGCTACACGCCGCAGCGATATATGGATTGGGCTGCACACAGCAGCGGTTACTATGATTTCTGTTATTATGAGGGATATATGAGCTGAGTGTCGAAAATAAGTATTAAGTGACGAGAGATGAGTCCGGAGTGACTGAGAGGCTACCCGAGAGGCCATATTTTGAGTGATTCCTTGCCCGAGAGGCCTTGTTATGCTCATTTCCCTGTTTCACTCTTCTTTCAAACATAGCCTCTATTGGAAACTATTGCTAAGTGTATGATTTCAACCTTTAAGCTAAAAGTGTATATTTTGTGACAAAACTGATTTTAAACTACAAAGTTAAGCTATTATCCTGTTGTTATTTTCAGTTATTATGTTTTTAACTGCTCGTCACTATCTTCAATCTTTATTTACTTTAGTTACTTACTGAGTTGGTGTACTCACGTTACTCCCTGCACCTTGTGTGCAGATTCAGGTGCCCGAGGGGCTGAGTGAGAGCTTCCTATTGATTCAGTGTTTGACGGAGATTTCGAGGTAGCTGCATGGCGTCTGCAGCCCTGTTTTCTCCTCTCTATCCAGTTCATTTCGCATTTTCCTAGACTTGATATATTAGATGTTCAATTATGTATTAGAGGCTCTAGGCTCGTGACACAAGATTGTTGGGGCTGTGTAGTATTTGTTAATTCAAATTTTCCGCATATTTCTATCATTGTAACACTTATCAAGATTCCGCGTTTAATGCTCGTGTTAGAAAAATGGCTTAATGTTGATGATAAACGAGTTTGTGAATTAGGGGTTGTCAGCTTGCCTAGCATTATGATAGGTGCCATCACGACTGGTATTTGGGGTCGTGACAACTTTTGACCATGCAGTTACTGAGTGTCGAGCTTTTTCGTCATCCGATGTCTTCGACAAGGAAAAAGATATGATCCAGCCTTTTCATGTTTTTGAAAAAGGTAAAACCACAAAAATGTAGTATTTATTTAACTTATGTGTGTATTGTGCATATTAATTAATCGATAGCTATTATGAACCAGTTTCAACATTGGGTACCACAAATGCTTCATGTACTCCAACCTCTGAAACAGTTACAACTAAAGGTTAGTTTAACGATCATCCTTTATTGATTTTATCGACCGTTCTATTTTCATCTCTCACAATTAATTATCTGCACTATGTAGGCCGCGTAAAGAATAAGAGAACTACGATTAACATTAACCAAGCTCTGATTATGTTCCATTAAAAAAGATTCCAAACTGCTTGTTCTGCTATGCGAAAAGATTTCAGTATGAACCCTCTAGATTTTGTTGTGGCAGCGGTACAGTGAGATTAAGCTCTCATCGAATGCCAACTAAACTGAAAAATTTATATATGGGGAACAATGCAGAATCCAGGCATTTCCGAACATATATTAGAACATATAATAATCTGTTTGCTTTTACATCACTTGGTGTCAGTTATGATAAAGATTTAGCCAAGAGAAACCGAGGTATCTACACATTTAGAGTTCAAGGACAGATGTATCATTTGATAGATGATTTATATCCCAAAGAAAGAAGGCCAAAAAATTTGCAACTGTACTTTTATGATAATGCAAATGAGCTTGAAAATAGAATGGCTTGTTCAGACAAATTAAATGAATCAATAGTGAAAGAATTGATGGACATACTAAAGGATAATCTGTACTCAATATTTCTACGATCCTTGGCAGACATGTCAAACTTGCAAAACTTTCATATAGCACTGAAAAGTGATGCTGGATTGGATCAACGCGTATATAATTTACCTACTACTACTGAAATTGCAGCAATATGGGTTGATGAAAATGATGGCTCTACTACTCATGCACCACATCTTCAAATTTATACTCACAGTGACAGGACACAAAGAGTGCACTACTATTTTGGATGATATGACCCTTTACAGTACCCGTTGTTATTTCCATATGGTCAAGACGGATGGTATTGTGGTATTAAAAAGTTTCCTAAAGCAAAAAATATTCGTAGAAGTCGCACTCTGGCTGAATTTGAACAATTGCCGAGTAAACAAAATTACATCTGTTGATGGATATCTTGATATAGAAGCTTAAAATCTGCAAAATGGAAAATGCAAAAGAGAGCAGTTTCAGTTCGCGAATACTACTGTTAAAACTTTAGATGAGAAACGATGATGAAGATGAAATTTTGCATACAGGAAGATTACTCCAGCAGTATTCAGTTGATGAATATATAAAATTGGAGACACAAAGATTAGACTTTGTTTCATTCAATCAAGATTTATTCAGAATGGATATACTGCTAGGACTTCTTGATATTCTAAGACTTGGTGAACGAGATGCTTCTAATGTTGAAAAATAAAATTTTCTGCCAAATTCTTTTATAGGAGGTCCTAGAGATATGCGTCAGCGTTATATGGATGTTATTGCATTAGTGCAACATTTCGGAAAACCTGATTTGTTTATAACTATGACATGTAACCCATCTTGGACAGAAATAAAAAAACATCTATGGTCAATTGACGAGGCACAAAATAGACCTGATTTGATTACTCGAGTGTTCAGGGCTAAAATAGAAGAACTGAAGACGGATATTAAAATGAAATATCTTTGAAAAAGTTGTTGCTTTTATGTACACTGTGGAGTTTCAGAAACGAGGTTTACCCCATGCTCATTTTCTTATTATACTAGGTAATGAACACAAACTGCTGACAGCAAAGGTATACAATGATATTATTAGAGCAGAATTACCAGATGATAAGACAGAATCAGATTTGCGTAAGCTTGTCATCAAACATATGATGCACGGTCCTTGCAGTAGTTTAGACCCAACAAATTCTTGCATGAAAAAAAAGGTTACTGCAAGTTCAAATATCCAAAAATGTTTGCCAATCAGACAATAAAAGGAAGCGATTCTTATCCAGTCTATAGAAGACGAAATACAGGGGAAGTTGTGAAAGTAAGAGAACGATATTTAAATAACTCCTGGGTTGTTCTGTACAATCCATATTTACTTGGGAAATTCAATTGTCATTTAAATGTTAAAGTTTGCTCTGACATCAAGGTCGTGAAATATCTCTACAAATACATTTGTAAAGGACATGATAAGATTGCATTTTGTGTACAAAATAATGATACAAACATAGAAATAGATGAGATAAAAGAATATCGATCTCCTAGATAGGTATCACCTCCAGAAGCTATTTGGCGTCTCTTTGGTTTTCCAATAAGTGAAATGTCTCCCAGCGTTTATCGTCTTCAACTACATCTTGAAGGTCAACAATTTATTTCTTTTAAGAGCAATGCGGATATACATACAATTGTGAATAATCCGATGATTCAAAAACAATGTTAACAGAATTTTTCTCCATGAACAAAACTAATGAAGATGCTAAAGAGCTCAATTTACTATATAAAGAATTTCCTGAATACTTTATGTGGTCCTCCAGTGATAAATTTTAGGCACGTAGACAAAAGCATTGTGTTGTTGGCCGCATTGTGACATGTCATCCAACAGAAGGAGATTGATATTATCTTAGATTACTACTAATGCATGTACTAGGACCGACATCATATAAGGATCTTTGACAGTGAATGGGGAGCCTTATAATACTTTCAGAGGGTCCGTAAAGAAAAGAGGAATGTTACAATGTGATAATAGTTTGATAGAGTGTATGTTTGAAGCCGCAATTTACCAAATGCTATATAGTTTAAGGAGTTTATTTTCTATATTATTCCCTGCCAACCCTAGAAAATTATGGGAGCAATTTGAAGAATCAATGATCGAAGACTACAAAGTGTTACAAATTATTGAAAGAAGAGAAATTCGATATCAAGATTTGAATCATATCAACGATATTTTACAAATTATGGATCATGATATAAATGAATATGAACTCATTCCAAAAACTATTAGGCCTTTTACGGCAGCAAGAGAAGCAAAAGAGATTCATTTTGAAAGATCTATTATTGTCAGTGAAGATGACATACTGTTGCATAGGAAATTAAACAAAAATCAACTAATTGCATATAATCTGATTACTGAAAGGATATTTTCAAATAAAGCAGGTGCCTTTTTTATAGATGGTCCCGGAGGAACAGGGAAAACTTTTTTATACCGGGCTTTATTGGCAACTATACGATCTATGGGATATATAGCTTTGGCAACAATTACTTTTGGTGTTGCTACTTCTATTCTTTCAGATGGACGTACTGCACATTCACATTTCAAATTTCCTATTGACATCGATGAAAATACCAGTTGTAACATTAGCAAAGAAAGCTCACTTGCAGGGTTAATCCGAGATGCAAAATTGATTGTGTGGGATGAAGTATATATGGCCAAAAGAAGAATGTTAGAAGTTTTTGATCTACTATAAAAAGATCTGATGAATACAAATGCATTATTTGGCGGAAAAGTTGTAGTTTTAGGAGGTGATTTCAGACAGACTCTTCCTGTTGTGCGATACGAAAAAAAAAAGATTTCATTGGCGAAAGTTTGTTATATTCTAGCATTTAGAATGAACTTGAAAAATCAAAATTATCTGAGAATATGAGAGCTAAAACAGATCCTGCATTTTGTGATTATTTGCTAAGAATTGGAATTGGACAAGAACGAGTCAACTCAGCAGACAAGATTAAAATTCCAGATTCTTTGATTATCCCTTATACAACCGAAAGAGAATCTCTTGATAAATTATTTGTAGCAACATATTTAAATTTGGATTCATTATATTCTAATTCATCCTGTATAGATTTCCATGTGATCTTGACAACAAAAAATGATATTCGTTGATGAAATTAATGGCATGCTTATTGATCGATTCACAGGAAAATCAAAAATATTTATTGCTACTGATGAGGCTATTGAATTTAACAACCAAACACAAATTGAAGATCTACTACACACTTTAAATCTTCCAGGTTTGCCTCCTTACAAATTATGTTTAAAAGAGAATTGCCCAATTATATTATTACGAAATCTAAATCCATATGAAGGTTTATGTAATGGTACGTGATTGACCTTGTTGTGATTTTAAAAGTCATGTTATTAGCGCTAAGATCACGGTTGGTGATCTGAAGAATATGCATGTGTTTATCCCAAGAATACCATTATTATCATCACAGGATGAGAAAACGACTGTTCAGTTCAAAAGAACACAATTTCTTGTTACATTATGCTTTGCTATGACTATAAATAAAGTACAAGGTCAAACTTTAGATTTTTTTGGAATTTATTTGTGGAACCTGTATTTTCACACGGTCAACTTTATGTTGCCTTATCAAGAGCAAAGAGTTCAAATTTTGTAAAGCTGTTGATTCAGCCATCGACACCAACTAGCCATGACGATCATTCTACCTCTAATATCGTTTACGGACAAATCATTAAGAAAGCAGGTGCCTGAACATCGACATACGATTCTTCGGGAGGTCCATTGCTCTTTCCTTCTCTTATTATCCTGTGTGCACATTTTCTGATATTTTCATACATTCTCTGCTTTGCGTTTTCAATCTGTTAATGCTTTAATCTTAATTTTCGTCTATTTCAACTCTATCAAAGTGTAATAAGACTTGATTCCAAAAGGTCCTTATGAGGCGATTCTCATCCTCACCATTTATGTGCAAAAATTTTGATGAAATAAGCTTTTTGGAATTTAAAAACTAAAAGGTTTTCACCTTAGTTCAAGAAATGATTTTGTAAAACAAACAGAACATAGAGTACTTATTTCCCTGGAATTTTACTATGGTCACTAGCAGATAGCACTTTTGATGTCTTATTAATTCTTATTTTTTCCCCTATGACTGTGTAAAACATATAGATTATATAAAACAGCTAAGCGAGGACTGCAAACTAAAGCTGAAAATGATTTTAAAAGATCAACATATCTTTATGATGTTGCTGACCACAACTCAGGTGAATTAGTAGTCAGATAACAACTTCAATGGTGGACTTAGATCACGAACTCCTTATTTGGAACTGTACTTCCTTCAATTGAATCGATTGTGAATAATTTAGCATACGGTGGACAGGCAGTTGCTCAGACCTTCTATAGTGGAAATTAGCTAATTATTCTTTTGTGTGTATCAACTTGACTTGCTATACTTGCTTGATGTTTGTCATTGTGCATTGCTCAGTTTGCCAATTTCTATTTGGCTTTTCCAGTAACTAGGCTTTGTGTATCATTAGTTGGTCTTATAGTGTTAAGTGATCCAAAACTAAGTTGTATGGTTTAACTATTCCAACTGTAATACCATTTGATGATCTTCTCAAGGAAAAATAAATTTATGATTTGAGGTATCTTAGAATGTACTGACAACTATTTTTCATCCTTTACTGAGCATAGGTAACATGTTTGTTGTGATAACACCAATCCAAGGTAGTGGAAGAGGAGTTACGCCGGGGAGCAAGTGAGGTAACTTTATTTTTATTTTCTTTTATTATCTTGCAACATATTTACATGTCGTTTATAAAAAAATCTTTCTCTGCATGTATGGTTAGGTATTCTAACTAATTGTAATTTCTACTTTATCTATTCTTCATTGTCTCTATGTCAGTTTCTTTCTATTACATTTCTCTTGATCTTTTCTTCTATCGAGACCATTTTTTCTTCAATAAATTGAACCATACACTAAGCAGTCATTCAATGAGAGATTAACTTTTAATTTTTTATAGCCACTGGCAAGCTATATCATGGCCATGACAGTTATTTCTATTCGATTTTGACCTTTATTCATTTCTGCGGTTACTGAATTTTGTAGAAACGTTGAGTTGTGTAGACTCACTGAGCAGGTTGTCTTCTCGGATCCCTACAAAATGTCACAATATAATCATTGCACATCTCCTTATGCAGATGCCGATGCAAAGAATAAGTTAATAATTCAGATCGACTCTGAAGGCACTGCTAAAGAATAAGAAGCTCATTCAATTGAAGTAGCCTCAACTCAGGTAATATTTAGTGCATTGTTGACTAATATGCACTGCTTTTGATCATGAGTAATGTTAGATAGAATAGATGGGGATGAGATAAAGTTCCTGTCTTTAGGAAAGCTTGAAATCAACAAATATTGGGTTTATTACTGATGTGTAACATTCATTTGTTTACAACTTTGAGTGCTTTGAGATTATTACATAAAAGTATTTTCTTTTAGATTTCTGTAGAAAGGCCACATTCATGATGGTATGGTGTCATACTTTTATATTTGGATTTTGCATTTTTCTGTATCAGGTTAATCATGTTTCGTAATGTTGGCTTGTTTTCATAAGAAAACATAAAATTTGCAAGTTCCTTTTTTGAGAAAGTTTAATTTTTTCGGAGAAGGAATCTACAAGTACCTTTGTTTATATATATATATATATATATATAGTCACCATTCTGTGCTAGATCAATTAGTACAACTTGTGCGGATTCACCACACTCTACCCTATAAGCCTCCACTCTGAAAATCCTTTCCAAAATTCAAAGTGATCTCTCCTAAGCTTTCAAGCTGATCCCTTCTTCAAGATTCTTGATAATTGGTTGCACACATGACATTTTCACTAAGAAATTGTTGCCATTTTCCCAAATCTCATCTTGTAATAATGTTGCAAGTCAAGTTAGTGCAGCTTCATCGGCTTCCCTTTTGTTGCCTTGTAATAATTCAGCCAACAGAGGCACTGCTCTTGCTTTTACCAAGCAAATTGTGCTTCTTGTAGAGCAATGACAATCATATACACTACAAAAACCACGAAAACCATCTTGATTTTCTCAATTTTCTTAGAGGGAGCGAATTTTGAGATAGTTGAGGTAGAGATACTGCAGCTCTATAATATCTTTTTTGATCACTGTCTGTAATATACCTTCTTAAACTGTTGTAGCAACTCAACTGTGTGCTTCAAAAATAACAGTATAGGTTCAGTACAAACGTATGTTTTCAGTCATACAGCTCTAAATATTTACAATAACCAACAAAAAAATAATCAAGGAAAACTTTTATTAATGTAGCAGTTGTTTAAGTTTATCTTTTCGTTATGATTGACTGTTGTTACCTAATTTGGCTTTAGCTGTGCGCTAATCCATTTTGGCTTACTTTGTGGCTTTTCTTTTTATCATTTAGAAATATTAATAAAAGCAGGATAGTTCTATTAATTATTATCATCATCTAATTATTACTCAAAATGAAAAAATATAGTGACAGTGGAATATTGTATGGAAAATACTTCAGTGATATAGTTAATCGAGACATTGTCTTCTTACATTGAAGGGAAGATATTTGGAACAAAGTAATATCATGTAGCATTCATTTAATGCGCAGAAAATAGTAGAAGAAATCACAAGTTTTAGTTTCTTCATTACTTTCTTTTACTGCAGATTCGTATATTTGGTATCTGGTAATAGGGCTTACAACAATGATCTTCTTTCTTCTCTGTACCTTAATTTTGAGACAGTGACATTACTCTTTCTGTAGAGAATAATTTTATGAGTATTTTCAATGCACAATGTGTTGTATACTGACCAGGACTGCAACTTATTTTTGGCTTTGTAGAACTACTGATGCTTCTCTTACATCCAGTACCACCAAAAGAATTGCTCAGTGGGCTTAGCACTGCACAGGTAACCGACTATTTTACCTTTGTATATTTGTACACGTTGGCTCCCATTAACAGATTCTATGTTCCTCCTTCCTGTTGTATGGCTAATAGTTAATGTTGTGCACCGTTTTTGTTTCTACAAGTTATGATATTGTGCTAGAGGAGAGAAAGAGGCCTTTTGCAAAGTGAGACATTGCAATACTTCAGAAGGATGCAGCTTTTGCAAGCGTAATGTTCTGATACACGAAATGGACCTTCCCACTGCCGCACTTCGACAAGGGGAGAGCTCTATAAATGACAACAACAATGTGGTTCCAAATTCACCTTGCCCAAATAAGAGTCAATCAGATATGCAGTTCCCAATAGAAGCATATTACTGAAACATATTATTTTCAGTAACATATAAATTATAGTTGAGTTATTATTCCATAATATTGCAGGCTTTGGTGTAGAATGCCTCTCTTAGCTTGGTTGAGATGAATACTCCAGTTTCTCATTTCAATCAGAATCAACCTACTTTGGAAGGAGTACTTTTGAATTTTTAGTTTCAGCGTTGTAACAGTTCAGTTGACGTAATAATTTATTTATTTTTTTATAGTAATTCTAATTTCTACCACTTACACATATTTGTATCAGCTCACCTGCTGCAAAACCATATGTTTTTTTTGGTAACATATGAATTAGAAACAGTAGGATTAAAAAGTGAGATTTTTGTAGTAGCTATGTAGTCTTCTTTTTTCTCTTTTGAGTAACATCTCACTAATAGCCCTACGGTCTTCCATTTCGTTACACAAGCTCACCTTTGCTTACAAATTTACAATAATATAGTTCTGTTCACGTTGGGAGAAAAGCTCGGGCTACCCCTCCACTAGTAAAAAATTCAAAAAAAAAAAGATTTTGCACTTTTTCATCATTTTCCGAAAATCAAAAATCAAAAAAAAAGAGGAAAACAAAATCCAAAAAGAGTTTACATGTTTCATTATTTTTCAAAAAAAGACAAAAAATATATTTTCTCTAAATTAGTTGTTTTTTTAATTCTTGTCGGTATCCAATCTGTCCGAACTACGCATACCTGATTCTCGTCTTTCGGGGTGTGATACGTAGGCAACCCACATAGGGTCCGGTCTTCTTAGTGAGTTTAGGTTCTTGGCTTCGCGGGGTCTTAGTCAAATCCTGTATTTCAGCCACTTTTACCCATATAGGTTGATTTTAAAAAAATAGTCACAATCATGTCTTGCATGTGTCCAACAGGAAGGGTTGTTGTCTCACACAGCATTCTAGGTCTTTAACTTTATTTGGTTTTAATTTTCTCATACAGGTGTGGATCTATTTACCGGAGTTTGGGCATGACAGACGCCTTAGGACCATCCAGTCAAGATCGCTCATTCAGGAGTTGCTTAAAGAGATTTTTTATTTTTATTTTTATGTTGAGTCTGTTTTTCTTTTTATGTCGCGTTTTACCTTCTAGTTCTATACAGTAATATCGAGTCTTTTAAAGGATGTTGAAGTCTGTCATAGTCTGGTAAGTTTGTCGAATTTTTCTTGTTATTGTATTTCCTATTTTGCATTTGAAAAATGTGTTATAGATCAAAAATCCAAGAAAACAAAATTACGTTTTAATATTTCTGTTAGAAGTTTTTTTTAGAATACTAATTCTAGGAATTAAAAAAAAAATCATTTGAGGTGGTTTTTCCTTTAGGCAATTAATATCTAGAACTTAAAATAAAAATTATTTTTATATTTCCTTTAATATATTAGGATTAAAAAAAATTTAATTTTTTTTTTCTTTTAGTACCTCTTTAAAAGTTTTCTTTAAGATATTAATTTCAAAAATTCAAAAAGATTTTTTTTGAGGTTCTTCTTTGGGAAATTAATGAAAAATGAATAAAAAAATTCGTTTTATTTTTACTAGAACTTCAGGACATTGTACATAGAAGAAAAGAAAACAACGTACTTTATCTTTGGTTTATCTTCAGAGTTTCTCCCTTAGGTAATCAAAACCGAAATCCAAAAGCATTTTTATCTTTTTCATTTCTTTGGTCGAAATCTTTCCTGAGGATATCAAGTGAAAATTAAAAATATTTTTCTTTGGTTCATTCTTTAGATTTCCTTCCTAAAAACAAAAGAATCAAAAAATGTTTTTCTCTTCTAGTTTTTTTCTCCTTAATTTGTCATAGAGTATCTATTTCAAAAAAAAAACTATTTGCTCGTTTAAGCTTGAGTTTAGAATAGGATATAGAACATCAAATCTAGAAAATTTAAAAAAAATAATTTGCTTCTTTATTTCTCTTTTCTCATCAGAGTAGTCATTAAGGTAAAAAAGAAACGAAAATGGAAAAAAGAGAAATGAGAACGATAGTTTGTTTACTTTACTCCTGATCTTCCCGAACTACGCAAAGATCTTATTCATGCGGCATCATGATACGTAGGCAACCTACATAGGGTTCGATCAAATCATTTTTTTAAGTTAAAAGAAAAAGAAAAAAAGTGAAAAAAGAATGAAGTTGTGGGACGTGAGAAATGAGAGAAAGAAAAGAGCGATAATTAGAAAGAAAAAAAAAGAAGGAAAATGAGCAAGCAAGTGCTATAAAAGTAAAGAAAAATGATGATTGAAATGAACAAATTGGGATGATGCCAACTGACCTTCGTACCCTCGAAGTCATTTTAGAACCGATAACTGCGACTAGGTGCATTGCACATAAAGAGACATTATCTTATGTTAAATGCCCTAACGCTAACGTGATGACTTCATCTTCATAGCGGAAAGGTGGTTGGTTTGTGGTTCTTAAAGTGGTAACTCTTCTCTACAGCATAAGGTCGAAAGGCAATGGCAGACGGCAACAGAATCGAGTTTGTTGATACTGGGGCCCAAAAGCAATTGGCTGAACAGGGCAATGGGTTGGTTGAAGAGGTAAGGATGTTAAGACAATACATGACCGACATGTATCAGGCTTGGATGACTGGGAAGGCACTATCCCCGCCACCACCTAGCTTCTTATATGCTACCCTTACCCAAGCTCCGGTCATAGTGCCCGATGATCCCCCATACTCTCCAGATCCACCCGCTTATCACAACTTTCCCAACCACCCTAGTAGCTCCATCACTCGTCCTCCAATTACCTTTCCCCAAAATTGCCCTCCTGTCATATCCACTATTCCCAACAGTGAAAACCCACTCAAAGCTCATGATGCCCAATATTATCCCCCAGAGGTTACCCACAAGGTTCCTGACTTATACAAGAAGAGCCCATCGGGATGAGCCTCATGTTGAAAATGAAAAGTTCACAGGAAAAGAAGGGTGAGATGAGATATCCAGGAAGCTAAAAGGTATAGAACAGTCCTTAAGGAGCATGCAAGGGATGAGAAATTAGATTAATATGTTCCTTGATGTTCATCTGCCTGCGGGGTTTAAAGTGCCAAAGTTTAATTTGTATAAGGGGTGTGGAGATCCGGTAGCCCATCTGAGGGGTTATTGCAGTGAAATGAGAAGTGTTGGCGGGAAAGATGAGTTACTGATGGCGTATTTCAGTAAGAGCCTGACTGGGGCAGCTTTGGAATGGTATAGTCATCAAAATGTCGGTAAGTGTCATACATGGGATGACTTGGCTCAAGATTTTGCGCGACACTGTCAAAACAATATAGATATTTTCCCAGACCGCTCCTCCCTATCTCAAATGGAAAAGAAACCCAAGGAAAGTTTTAGGGAATTTTGGTTCTATGATGACCCAAGAGGTCATCACTTGTTTTTAAAATGAATTCTGCATTCCGAGGCCTTAAAAACCTCTTTTAGCAATACTTCAATTTGCATGCGTAGTCCGGGCGCGTAACCAGAAAGCCTATATGTGAGAATCTGTGAAAAATGATAAATTTTGACTATAAAATGAATTAATTTGACTTCGGTCAGCGCTTTGGATAAACAGACCCGGACCCGTGATTTGAAGGTCCCGAAGGGTCCGTAGGAAAATATAAGACTTGGGTGTATGCCCAGAATCTAATTCCGAGGTCCCAAGCCCGAGAAATGAATTTTTGAAGAAAATTATTTTTTGAAATAGTTCATAAGGTTTGGAAATGAATTTTGATTAGAACTTGTTGGTACCTGGACCGTATTTTAGTTCCGGCGCCTAGTACAGGTCTTATATATAATTTAAGATAATTCTGTGAAGTTTGGTAAGAAACGGAATCCGTTTGACGTGATTCGGACCTTAAATGCAAAATTTGATGTTTAAAGAAGTTTTGAGAAATTTTATTGATCTTGAGGTTTAATTCGATGTTCATGATGTTATTTTGGTGATTTTATTACACGAATAAGTTCGTAGGATGTTTTTAAGGTTGAGTGTATATTTGGGTTGGAGCCCCGAGGGCTCGGGTGAGTTTTGGATAGGCCACGGGGTGCATTTTTAACTTAGAAAATTTGCAGGTTTTCAGCTGTGCATAGCAGGCCTGTAGGTTTCGCATTTGTGAAGCCTGGCTCGCAAATGCGAGCGGCTTGTCACAATTACGAAGAAAGCCCAGGCCAGCTCCCTCTCACAAATTCGAGATTATCTTCGCAATTGCGAAGTTTCACATTTGGCCGGTGATCGCAAATGCGATGATGTGGTCGCAATTCCCAAGTCGCAAATGCGACTTGTTGATCGCAAATGCGAAAGTCCAGTTTTTCCTGAAGGGTTCGCAAATGCGAGCCCTGTTTCGCAATTCCCAAGCTAGCAAAGGTCGGGGTTCGCAATTGCAAACCCCTGTTCGCAATTCCCACATCTGAGACCTGCATATTTTATACTTAGACGATTTTAAACTCATTTTTCACATCTTTACAAAATACAAACTCCTTTGGGCGATTTTCCAAGAACAACTCTTCTTCCAAACCGATTATAAGTTAATTTTAACTCATTTCCTTCAATTATTAACATATTTTAACATAATTTCAACTCAAAATCAATGATTTTCATGGGGGAAATTTGGTGTTTTGGGTAGAACCTAGGTTTTTTAAAAATTGGGGATTTGGACCTCGATTTGAGGTCTGATTTCAAAATAAATTATATATTTGGGTTTGCGGGGGAATGGGTAATTAGGTTTTGGTTCAAACCTCGGGTTTTGACCATATGGTCCTGGGGGCGATTTTTGACTTTTTGGGCATAACTTTAGAAAAACTCATTTTCATGCATTGAGGTTGATTCATTTAGCGTTTATGATGTACTTAAGTAACTTATGGCTAGATTCGAGTGAATTGGTGGTGGAATCAAGGGGTAAAGCTATAATTGAATCGTGAATTATGTTCGAGGCATCGAGGTAAGTGTTTGGTCTAAACTTAACTTGAGGGATTACGAGTTGTGTCATATTTGCTACATGTTAATTATGGAGTACGACGTATAGGCATGGTGACGAG